TCTTAGATTTTGCCTTTTCATGGCTTCCATGATTTTTTGGATGTTTTGTGTTTGGGACTTTTCCAATTTTACTTTATCTTTGAGAGAAGTATCAATTTCTGCGAGTATACCTTCAGCACCAGAGATTCTCTCTTCCATCTCTTGTATTCTATTGGTGATGCTTACCTTTGTGGTTCCTGATCTTATCTGGAAGTTCTCCAGCTCCAGAGTTTTATCTGTTTGTGTTTTCTTTATTGATTCTAATTCTGTTTTCATGCCTTGCACCATTTCCTTCATCTGTTTGAATGCGGATTCCTGTCTCTCTATGATGGTCTCTATTTTGTTGTTGTTGTTGGTTTCCTTTCTACATGCCACTAATTGTGCCTCTATTTGTTTGGCTATATTTTCCTGTGTTTCTTTGAGAGCTTTGTTCATTTCCTCTTCATTTACTTCCATTTGTGTGGCTATTTCTTTGAGAGATTTGTTTGTTTCCTCTTTATGTGAGGAAATAATAACTGGATCTAATAACTGGATCAGTATAGCTTTAAAATCATTTTCCTGTGTTTCCAATAAATTGGAGTATCCATTGATTTTGGGGGTTGATGGTGACACCATGATGTCCTGAGTTTTGTTGGATGTGTTCTTACACTGACCTCTGGTCATTTGCTTATCTATAACCTTCACTCTTTGTTCGTGGATTCTGCAGTTCAGACTGGTACCATCTTTCTCTGTTGTCTGGAGAATTCTTCAGGAAGATGAGAGAGATCCAGTGGTTTGAGAATGTGTCTTGGTGATTCAGCTGTACCTAAGCGAGTATGATTCCCAGGTGCAGAAGGACAAATGCGGGCAAGCATGTGAGTGTGTGTGTGTGTGTGTAATTGTGCCTTGAAGGACAGGATGTTAGAGGATGTATATGTCTGAAGTGTGGGGCAGGGGGGCTGTGCAGGCAACAAAGCAATTGAAGGCCCTTGGGGTCTTTGTAGGCGCAATTTGCTTGTGCAGATTCCCTGAATACCTCAGTGACCTACAGGCCACTGAGGCTTCAATGTTGAGAACACTGTCCCTCTGTTTCCCACAGTGGGTGCATGGGTGGGAGGGATCTGATGTCTGGCTGCTAGCTTAGAAGGACCCTGGATCTGGGGCTCTGCAAGCACTTGAAGGCACACTCACTCTCTAGCAGGTCAAAACAGAAAGCACAGGGATTCTCCCTGTTCTTTACTCTCAGTTTCGGACCTGTTGGGTCAAATGTGGATGTAGGAGCTCTGTCAGCTCAGTGGTGCTGCAGCCACCAAACTTAGCAGTTCAGCTGCAGCAGCAGAACTGGGAAGCTGATCCAGGTGCCTGCTGGACAGTCCTGAGGAGCCACAACAGTGGTCCACAGACCTAGGTGGCCCAGCAGGCCTGGTGTACCTGGGGAGTTTGGCAGGTCTGGCTGTACAGTTTTGGTGGCTGTACAGTTGGCTGTCCACCACTGAGGGATGGGGCAGCAGGTTCAGTCACTGGCTGGGAGGCCCTGGGGAGTTTGTACAGCTGCTCACAGACCCAGGACCTGGAAGAATGGTACCGTGGATCTGGGGCTCAGAAGGCTGGTACCGTGGTTCTGGGACTTGGAAACAGGTACATCTGGCAGCCCAGTTGAGGAGCTAGGAGTCCCACCTCTGCTGTCTCAGTCCCCAGGCAGTGAGTTCTGTGCTAAGAGTCTCTGGCACTGTAGGCTGGGGCTCTGCTGAGGAGGAGGGAGGCTTGAAAAGAAGAAATGCAAGCTGTTCAATTGTTCACCACTCTCGTCCCCAGAGAAGTCTGCGGATGACCTGAATCTAAATGGTCTCAGCTCATGTGATGTCCCCTCTCATTCAGAAAGCCTCAGTGTCGATTTTCTGGCTTCAGTTGCCCCTCCACTCACCAATTTTGGAGTTTCAGATCCTCTGCCTCTCAGATATGGTGTGTGCTGGTTGCCGCCATCTTGGATCCCCTCCCATAGCTGTTTTACATTCTCTCTCCCAGGAAAACAATGCCTGAGGCACTAAAATCATCTTGTTCCAAATGATTTCCTTTTCCAATTAACAAAATATGGTTTTGCTATTTCTTTAAGTCTTTATGAAATTTAATAGGATAGATTTGTGTTCTTATCTACCTTTTCTTGTGTTTTCTGAATAGTACATGGGCAAAGAGACACCTCTGTAAGCTGAAGTGTCATTAGTCCCATGGGACTTTGTCATAAACACTAGAGAGTAAACTGTGTTCACTTTGACCTGACCATGCGTTCCTCTTGTCTGAGCAGTTTATCATCTGGAATTCTGTCCATTATCACCGAGACAAGTCAACAAAGGCATTGGTGAACATGAGACCCAGAGCAGACAAGTCAGGGCTAAGTTTTACATATTGAAAGTTACAAGCTAAGCTTACAATGATTACTTGTTCTATTTGTAAGCTGATTCTGGGTTCTCCTTATCCCTGTAGAGAGTAAATTCTTCCTATCACATTGATCAAAATCATAGTGTGCCTGAGCCTGAGAAGAGTGACAAGGAATCTCATGTAAAAATACCACTTTCTTATGATGCCAATGCGTAGGCAACAGTTTATGATGATTAATCTTGATCATCAGCTTGACTAGATTGAGAAGCACCTATCTGACTAATAAAGCATACCACTGGAGCTGTTCTACTTTCAAAATGATTTGGCTCTATTTTCTAAGATAAAGACCCAGGTGGAATAAAAAGGAGAAAACGAAATGTGCCTAGCACAGATATCCTCTCACTAGGCTTCCTGACCAACCATCTTGTGAGCTGCTCTGCTCTGCCACACATGTCCCTAAATGGTCAGCTGAACCTCTGAAACTGAGCCAAATATATTTTTTTTTTGCTTGAGTTGTTTGTGAGGGATTTGGTCATGGCAGCAGAAAGTATAACATAAAAGCTTTCAAATTTTACTCTTTGGTAGTGAGGCTAATGTCCTTATTGTTAAGGAGTTGTGTTTGTTGTGAATATACTACATAATCTCACCACTTAAAAGCTGTGAGAATTCCCATACAAAAATGATCATGTGAGAATCTTCATTCATCTGTGTCTCTGTAAATGTAACGTTCCTGCTGGAACTGAGTATACATTTTTCAACTGAGAAGCAGAATATTTGAATTCTAAAAGTCTCAGTAGTTGTTTTAGCTAAGAATACCTCTTTACCTATTTATAACTTTTTTTTTTCAAAAGAAATCTGAAGTCATGGGGAGAAGAAAGATGGACTACAGAAAGAAGCTTTTAAAATCTGTAAAGATTCTCCCAGTCATCAGTCAACTCACGTTCCTCAAGGTGTTGATTCAGGAAGTCATGGGAGAGAATGCCATGTAATGTAAGAGTTTAGGGATTTGGTTAGTAAGAGCTGACTGAGCCAGTCCCCCAAATACACAAGAGTATTAACTATTTTTCCGTTGCTGTGGTACAATTCCATGACTAAAAGCAACTGAGACTATACATATTCTCTAAGTACCATAAGGCTCATGAAAGATGCTTACCCAATGCTGAAGAAGGTTCTTTTAATACAGCGAATGGAGACTAAAGAAGAATGCCAGCTAGAGTAAACCTAGTTTGTTCTAAGAGCATACATACTATCAGCATCCTGATTGCAACTGTTGTTCAAGGCGTCCAAGAATTTGATTTCAGTCACTGTTTGTGGACAGTGGCATCCAAAAGCTCTAAGCTCTGAGTGAGTTATACAGTCTGTCTAAAATATAAGTGGCCTGAAATTAAATCCCAGTCAGAACAATACAGGTGCACCCTGGAAATGCCTACCTATCACCATAGTTTTCAGACAGCTTAGCTCAAATTTCATTTCATTAGCTTAGCTCAATTTTCATTTTCTATAAGTTGAAGAAAAAAAATCTACTATTGAGAAAAGTTTATCATTTTGCTAATACCATAATGTCATAGAGATACAATCCCACGTGAACACTGGAGTTGAGTAATCAAGAACAATGAGAGGCCAAGGGCCTCTGGCACTGAGGCCTCAAGTTACCAACATCTAGTCCCACTCTGTTTCTGTCTGCCTTACTCTGTTTCCCCAAATGACAATATCCATAGTCACATGTCTAGAATCCTGTCTACCACCATCTCCACATGGCCCTAATTATAGTCAACCATAAGAACTTCCAGATACCAAAGCCTACCTGACCCTGAGAACAAGGCCTCCACACTCGCCTTTGGGTGTATGAGATTCTGAGAGAGGTAATGTGTAAGGAATGAAGTTCTTCACCTACATTTTCTGTGTGGTCGAGGCATCCATGGATAGGGGATGGGAAAGGAGTGCTATTCTGAATACATGTGTGTGGTGAAGGGAGTGAAGGGAGCTGAGCAAAGCTCAGCTAAGGCCTGAGAAATGGATTGTGGGAAGGGCCGTGGGGTGGGGAGACATCAATACCTGTAGATGTCACATGGCTGCTTGGTAATACCCAAATAACCTAAACCGTGTTATGTCAAACCAACGCGGGATCTAGACTTATTCTGTAATGTACAATAACTATGAACACACATTTAGAATAAATTTATCTAAAAATTTACTGACAATTATTTTTTTTCTGGGAAATTTAGCCTGATAGCAACGTCTTTGAATTTTCTTTAATCAGAAAGGTGACGTGAACGTTCAACTGGAAGTTGGTGTAACCTTCAAAGCCAACCTTTAGTGACTTGGTTATACAAGTTAGGCCTCGTATATGAAAGGGCTTGGCGATCTCTCAAAAAGATGGCACCGCTTGGGAACTAAGTGTTCAAACATGTGAGCTGTAGGGGACACTGCAGATTCAATCCTCAGCAAGAAGGAATTGCTTTTTCAGGTCATATATATCATGCACATACATATGTGTATGTATATTCTCTGTACTCTTTATCTCTATACTACACATAAACTCTACATACACAGAGATGCACTATATGTGTGTGTATATATATATATAAATATAGATATATGCCTTTGTATATATAAATACAGTATATATGTATGTATATGTGGGTACTTAGGGATCAGGACTCAGATTTCAGTTACTTCTCTTTATTGTCATTTTCACCACATCAATTAAAGTATACACTGTGTTGTTATGTAATATACATGCACAAGAGATTAACATAGGCTGCCATAGTAACTTAACATCCCTATTGTCTTACATGATAATGCGTCTTTATATGAGCATGAGCAGCTAAATCTACTTATTTAGTAAAAGCCTCAAAAAAATATGAACTGCAGTCTTCACTCTTTGGAGAGCTTATTTCACTAACACATTTTTTTTTTCAGTTTGTATTCAAAATCTTTGCCAATTCAATATCTCTTGCTCATACAATGAGTAGAATATGTTAAAGTGTTATTGACCTAGTAAATGCTTAATGTATCTATTAATAGCATGTCTGTTATTCTGTCCAAAAGCCAGTGCAATGAAGCGCTAATTTTCCAGAGAAACAAATAATGAGAACATGATTCTGAAGTCACACACACACAGTTGAAATTAGACTCGTTCTCCGGTGGGGTTCTTGCACAGATTTTCTGGAACCGTTTTTCCTCGGTATTCTGGTGGTGCCAATGGTTAAGGTAGCATTGGTGTCATACCAGGATTTGGTGATTGAATTACAACAACCTGTGAAATGAATCCAAATATCATTGAATTACCCAGTATACTCAGAGCTTCTTTTCCTTATACCATAATGTCACTTTTGCTATCATCTACACTGTCTCTACTGAGTTGAACCACACATCACCCTGGGGGGGGGGTGTCTCGGGAGCTGCTTGGATCAGGCATTGTACTCCTAGGACACTCATTCTGTGGCAGAGCTTGACCAGAGGAGCTGATATCTGCAGCTGCGTCTTAGAGCGTCAGTCTTCCATGTGAATGGCTTACTTGAACAAAGGAGTTATGGAACAATGACAATGATATTCTTTCCAACTAGTTTGTTCCTGCTGATAGCAGCACATCCAGACCTTGTCATGGAGGCCGTGAACAAATTCTGCATATAGGACGGTGGCCCAGAATGGCAGAAGTATCGCAATACTCGGGAATATTCTTTCTTCCCAAACTCAGGTGACATGGGGCAGCAGTAGAATGAAGATGTGCATACATGAGCAACACATGCACCAGAGCACTGCCCTTCCGGGTTAACACAGGAGGTCGGCAGGAACAGCATTGCTCAGTTCTGGGGAGCAGGTGACAGCTTTCACTAGCTTCTTTCTCTGCTTGCAGCGTTGAGGACACACCTGCCATATCGTTCTCATGGTCTACTGCCTGGCCTTTTTTATCTGCCTAAGTCTGTCACTTTTTATATCTACCTGACCTTCTTCCTCCTCGCTATTCAAGAGCATCTTCAAGTAGTCCTCCACTGAAAGTTTCTGATAAACAATGGCCCTGTCACCTCCATGAGCACAGTTTAGGCAGGAGAATGGGGGCTGGAATGGAGGAATGGACTGGGGAAAATGAGGCTGGATTTGATTAAAGCACATTATATGCAGGTATGGCATTCTCAAACAGTACAAGAGGTTAGCACATGAAAGAAACCAGCACATAGAGGAAGAGTCTACATCCTTCTACACCTGGTCTTCACCTGAAACACAGCATGCTGGGTAGGGATCTGGGGCAGTGAGTCTTCTGGGCACAAACAGAAGAGGCAGGTGTGCAGGGTCCTAGAGAGGGCGCGACCTTCTGTGGCTGCACACCTTTCACGCTCTTTCCAAAGCTCCCCAGCCCACTTCCTGTCTTAGAAATGCTGTTCTTTTCTTCATACACTGTCTCTGTTTCTAAGGATGGGTCTCTGGTTCAGTCCTTTGCTCTTCAGCACAGGGATCTGGAATTCAGGAACCTCTGAACTCAGAGCTGTGGCTTGGCACTCTTGAAAGTATTTCCCCAACTTTCTCTCCATCTCTGCTCCGCATGGAGGCTGCAGGTATTTTCAGATTGTCTGTCCTATTTTTTTTTCTCTTTTACAAACTGTCATAAGAGTGTCCATGAGCTTCCTTCTGAGTCTGTTTCTAAACTCTTTTATTAATAAAATCATGAACCACAAAGGGAACCACAGTTTCCCTGGTAACAGAGCTGAGCAGAGGACCCAGCTAAGCTGTTGATGGTCTTGACTTGAGGAAGTTAAAGAAGACAACGAAAATGTGTCCTTATAAGCTGCTAGATTCCTGCAACTGGTTATGGGGCAATAGACCTACTGACATCCTCCTGAAGGAAGTGCCACTCACCTCCCTGGCGTTACAACAGGTTACTTTACATCCAAAGGCCGAGACAGACACAGCAATGCAGAATTCTAGCAAATTTAAAATGAGCATCAAGGAATCTATACCCTAGAAAAAGATTCATACCAAGGAATGTGAGAGATGGATATTACAAGTTTGAAATATGCACACACACGCACGTGTGCGTGTACACACACACACACACACACACACACACACACACACATACAACCAAGGCTAACATGTCAAAGAGGAAAAAAAAGGCTCTGGCAAGGGGTTTGGAAATCAGCTTTTGATACAGTCCAGTCCTTATACAATTTATTGGTCTCCTAATAAATTTTACTAATAAAAAATGATCAGTGACCCCTTGCCCCAAGGCTCCTGTGCTCTGGTGCTAGACATCTCACATGGAGAAAACAATAGTACTATTGCATATGTAAAGAGGTTGTGTTTCTAACCAAGCCCCAGAAGGGGAGATCCTAGTTTTCTGTGGGAACAAAGGTTGTTTATTAGGTAATATAAGCAGAATATCTTGGCCTGTGCAGGGACTCTAAGTTATTGTAACATTTTCACAAGTAGAAGCAAGATGATGAGTAATCAAAGTCCAAGAGAATGGGGATGCTTCAGTATTTGCCTTGAAAACAGAGGACAGAATGATGAGCCAAGAAATGTAGACAGAAGGTGGAAACACAAAAGCCAAGAAAATACTTTTCCCTAAATCTCCCAGGGAGGACAACAGCTCTGCCAACATTTTGATTTTATGCAGTGAGACTGGTTTTGATCTTCTGTCACCCTGCAATAAAATACATCTGGATTGTGCACTAACTTGGTAGTGATTGTCACAGATATGGCATAGCACTGGAGTGTTGAGTACCACGCTCCTTAGTAATGTTCAGTGCATGTGGGTTTGCCTGTATCTTCACCAAACCACAGACCAAAACAGAGGAACAAAGGGCACATTGTTCTCTATTCTCCCTCCTTGAAGGTGCCTAGAATTGTTGGGTTTAAATATCCTGTGTTTTTTCTTTCAGGGATCAGAGATGATCCCTCTGCTGTGAATTAGTCAAATGACCAGGAGCTGGGCACATGAGAGATACTGGTTCATAGGCCCTGGGAATATTTGAATTTGTTGTTGCTATCCTTGCCTCAACAGATCCAGTATCATCTCTGTGCAGGCGTTGTGTCAGGCACAAATAGAGAACAACAAGTAGAAGAGCCTTATTCTCAGCAATGTGACTATCTAGATAGATAGGTTAACAGTTTCTTTGAGGATTAGAGAGTATTGATGTTAGGTCTGCACGCTTCATCTTCCCCCTTACAAACATCCAATCACTCTCCATGATCCATAAGCAACACAGAACATATCATTTAACTTACATAAATCAGTACAGGCTGAGCCTGGTAGTTTACAACCATTATCCCAACATTGAGAGGAGAGAGTGGTTTTTAATCCAAGGGCAGCCAACACTCCCATCTCCAGAAATATCAAACAAACATCCAAAGTGAAAATAGCAACAAAAACAAAACAAAGGTAGAGTTTTGACCTAAGAAGCATATATATATGTATATGTATATACATATATATATGCTTCTTTAACCTGTAGGAATTGTTCTTTTTCTAGGTCATTTTGGCTGATCTTTGGCAATTTCATGTGGCTTGTTCTGATGGTTCCAGGTAGCAGGCACTCTAATTTGTTCTTTGTTACAAAGAGTGCACTCTTTTAAACCTGTTTTGTAAAATGATATGCTATATAGTATATCTTTTTCTCCCAAGAGGATTGGAGCCTCCCACCGTTAGGAACTTGACTTTATTTTCGGTCTTCCTAGGGTACCAACTTAAGATACCAACATGGCATATTGGCCCCTATATTTGAGAACTAGCCACATTAGTGGTCTTCAATGACATGTCACCTGATCCCTAAGTAAATACTGTCCTACTTCTTTACTTTTTCCAACTTCCCAAAGTGATTCTAGAATCAGAGTGTCGATTGTTGCTTTTGCATTGAGCCCTTGCCCCCACCAGGGCATCCCATCAGCAGAGGAAGTACTTACTGTTTCAACTTCATTTTTAAGAAAGGGAGAACGCAAACCCAAAATCACACTGATGATACCCATTATGCTTGCGGCTGCAGCCAGCACAGCGCTGATGGTGTTGAAAACTAGACTGATGGTGACCTAGAAAGGAATGAGAGTCAATTAATTCCACAGCATCCTTGGAATAGCCCCTTCAATATTCAAAGCACATGATGACCTTATTAATGCAATTCTTCCTCTTTTTGCCAAAAGTAGACTCTGTGTCTTCCCTTACAGTAGCTTTATTTCTAATCCCTTGCCAACATAAAAACACAGTACTGTTATTCCTAAGACTAAATTCTCCAGATAAATCTCAAGGCCACATGATGCTCTTCAAATTTCCTGGAAAAAAATTTCAGAGTCTTTGACACATTATCTGTAAAGTCCCATCAGTTGCTTTCCACCAAACTCTGCTTCAAATGCCTGATTGTACCCCTTGTGTAAATGCTGGAGGCCGCTTATGGCCATGACCCTCTTCCCTATTTTCCCCCATGTGATAGATCTGGCTTCCCAATTTTCTTCTCATGGTTCACTTAAATAAGCTTTTTTTAAAAAGTATTTATTCATTTTATATCCCAGTCGGAGTCCCCTCCCTCCTTGTTTCCACTATCCCTTCTCCTCTGCTCCTCAGAGAAGGAGACCCACCTACCCACCCATGCCAGCCTAGGAAGTTGCATAAGGACTGAGTGCATCCTCTTTCCCTGTGGACTGGTGAGGTAGCCCCACCAGAGCAAAGTGATCAAAAAGCAGACTTTATTGTGAGAAGTAAAACTACTCAGGAAACTGAAAGTTTGCCTCGTCTATAACATGAGGTACGCTGTAGGGGTCAGAGTTGGTTTAAGATGCTGAGGAGGCAGACAGGATTCTGGGTTGAGAAAGGTCATCTTGATGGTGCTACAGAAGTTGATGTTTACCTGTAGCCATTAGTGAAATTCAAATGAATTTTTAGTTAATGAAAAAATTGTTGAATTCTTGGTTATTGCCTTTCATCAGCTTTGTGACAGAGATCTCATTGTAAATGTCTTTTTTAAATTGTTTATTGCTTTATGTGTATGGATGTTTTGTCTGCATGTATATGTAGCATGTGCATGCCTGGTGCCTGCCTAAGTTAGAAGAGCACTTCAGATCCCATAGAACTGAAGTTATGGATGTCTGTGAGACACCAAGTGGGTGCTTGGGACAAAGTCTGGGTCCTCTGTAACAGCAACAAGTGCTTGTAACCTCTGAGAGATCTCTCTGGCCTCTGTAAAAAAAATTTTTTTTTAAATCTATTATTTCGGATACATCTGTAGAAGCCATTGTAATCTGTAAGTCAATGATTTTTCTTTTTTTTTGCCACAGCATATATTTGAGTGTCATTATCACGGGCTTGGTCTGTAGCTTCAAGGTTCTTCTATGTAAAGTCCACTTGATATTCCTTTCCCAGAATTCACTGCACCAGCTCCAAGATTCTCCCAGCAACTGCCTTGACATGGTATCTAGTCAGTTGTGATGAAACCCACTATGAGCCAGTAGCTCAGATACACTTTTGAAAGTCAGGTCTTTTCAACCTAATAGTCTTGGCTTCAGAAAAATAGAATGAACCCCCTTTACATCCTAGAAGTATGCATATTTGATAAAATTGTTCTCTTTTGAGAGCAAAATAAAACAAAATACATACCAGGCGCTTTGTAGGTTTCACTGCTGCTGAAATTGACAGGGATCCTGAGATTATGAACTGGTAATAAGAGAAAGCATCCACGTTAAAAAAAATCTTTAAACAGTTAATCTAAATCACAGCATACCAAAACTTACTTCTAAATCAACCGAGTCTATGAAAGGGAGCAATTGTCTAAAAACCTGCCATAGTCAGTTGTCATCTACTTTCCCTCACCCAACAGAGCAGAGAGTAAAAGTAAAGTGAGCCCACGGAAGAATCATTAAGGTTTGTTTGTAACAGATTATTTATTTATTTATTTATCTATTTAATTATTTATTTATTTTGGATTTTTCAGACAAGATCCTGGTTGGCTGGAAGCTGGCTCCTTAAATCAGGCTAGGCTTGTTCTTGAAGTGATTCTCCTGCTCATGCCTCCGAGGAAAGGGATTACAGGTGGGACCCCCCCGAGTGTGGCTCAAAATTGTAATATTTCTTCTATGCCTTTAGTGTAGAGGAATAAGTCATGTCCCTCTTTGGTGTAATTTTACTCCTTAAAGATCGATGGCTCGAATGCTAATCTTTCTAATAACACTGATAAAGCTGTCTGACATCTCCTATTCCAGGGAAGTTTATTTTATAGTCAGGTTATTTTGAATTGAGATTAGATTTCAGAGACCTGAAGACAAATTGAGAACTTTTTGAGTTTTAGGTTATCAGTTTCTTTTGCATACTTTTATCAAAGTTTTTTTAAAGAAAAAGATGCAACTGTCAACCTACCAAAATTGTTTAAGAGCAATGAAGACTAAAGCGCCCCGATTCTTATGACAAGATTTTGCCCACATGACCCTAAACTGAAGAAGTTAACCAAACAAAAACAGAAAAAAATATCGTTGTTGAAAAATGCATATTGGAAACTATAAATAAATCAGTGAAAAAATTAACTTCTACAGTAGATGATGACTAGATTATTGTAGCTCATTTGGGTCTACCAATTTGGGAAATATTTTCATTTTATTCTAAACAACCACCATCAACTAGATTGAATTGAGCTCTTCACACTATCCAGCTAAAGACATGGATGCCAGTATTTGCTTCCCAAATTTTATTTTAGGAGGTTTAAAAGGTAATGGTGACGTCAATAGGATCACATCACTGAAACTAAAATGAAGATATAGATGTAAGTCTGGGGAGAAGGGTGCAAATAGATTGCTTCCCACGCATGCCTGAACCCTTCAGTTCCATCCTCCATCATGAACTATGGGTGTTATTTTCCAAGATGCTATTGAGTGGGAAATAGTTATTGAAGCAGAAAGCCACAATGAGGAGATATATGAGATTTGGAGTCTTCATTCATGGACTGAATACATCCTGAGTAAATTAACCTTTCCTAGTCTCATTTTTTTTTTTCAATGATACAATGATGATGAAGGCAAAATCCCTCAGAAGTTGTCATGATTGGTTGAGGTGGGACATTACATACAAAACGATTAGTAATGTGCTCAGATTATAATGCAGTGAAAGCTATTACTGGTATTACTGGTATCATCATCATCATCATCATCATCATCATCATCATTGGTATTATTATTGGCATGTCTTCAAATCTTAAACACCTCTTATAAAATAGGAAGGAAAAATTAAAGGACCAGGTCTACAAAATAACTAAATTTTCTCATTATCAAGTTTATCATTAAATGGAAACCTTACAACACTTGAATGGGACTCTCAAGTGTAAAATAGCCAGGTTTGTGCATTTTGTTTTCTACTTGTCAGTTCATAATACATAGATAAGAAAATATTTGACATTTTATACTTAATTGACACTCTGAATTAAAAAAATAACTCTCTTAGCTTTTATTATAGAGAAAAATTTTAAAAATTCTTATTTAATTTTTTGGCTAGTTATTTTATTAAAAAATTGAAACAAAACTTGTCTACAGTTTCCTATTCTCTTAAGCATTTATTGAGATTGGTTAGCTAGATGCTCTTAGTCACCTACTCAGCTTTGTCTCCTCCTAATTGCTAACAACACCCTCCCTCATTTCATTAATTTTTTTTATGAGCTTCAAAGTTTAGTGATCCTTTCCCAGCTGGAGAAGTGAATTTCAATTCTTCAAGTTAAGGACAAAAGACAGTTATCCTTGGTTTGAGAATATGCTTGTCTTAGGAGCAGTGAAATAGATATGTCAGCAAGTCAAATTGCTGTCATAAAGATGTGATGACATTCTTGTACCATCAAATAACCATCCCTAGGATGACTAGCCATAGACTCCCGAGGAAATCAGTTGTGTCAAGGTTTAAGTAACTCTTGGGGGAGTGCAGGACTACATGCTGTCACAATATATCCTAAGTGACATTTTAAATAATCAGTCCACCTCATTTACATGAATGGTATGTTGATATTGGAAACATGAACAAGGAAAAACCGAATAAGGTTTAAGTATGTTGTTCTCAACCTCATAGACTACTTGAAAGCATTGAGAGAAGGTTCCACCGAGAGTTAGTATAGTCTCAACAGGGTGTTACTACCTCCAGTCGCATAAGTTGGTATGCTACTCACCATCAGTGGCCCCCAAGCTGGGGTCGCTAAGATCAATGAAATGGCTGGTTCACGATGATCAAATGGTATGCTGATCATTATTATTCCTATGCTCAGGTTTATGAGAGCAATCATAATTTGTACAGCCTAGACACCAGAAAGTAAAGCATTATCCAACACAAAACTATGTCCATGGAAAGTCCTATCAAAGCACTAAGTTACCTCTGCCTCCAAGTTTAGTATTAACAGATAATTTTTGAAATACTTTTTTGTCAATTGTCTTCATACATATACAGAGAGCATGCAATAACTTATAATTCATCCCTTGGAATCACACAAACGGACACACACACACACACACACTTCAGTAATTTCACAGTTAGTGGAATTTGTGAGATTCTTTACAGAGGTGCTTTTACGGTACCCATGGTGCATCTCTACCATTGTCGTCATCCTTTGTCACATGCTCACAGAAGAAAGACTCAGGAATTAGGAAGAAATTATTCCAGCAAGAAACAATTTGGAGAAATATAATTATATTCAGAACAAGGAAAAAATGAACAGCATACATAATCTTCTTTGGGGGCTTGGAGTGTGAACAAGGACTGTGAATATGGTGAGGAAAAAAATGGTGAAATTCTATTATAATTATCCCTATAATAAAGACTCAAACAAAATGAGAACAAATTATGAAGATGTATGGAAAGAAATAAGAGCAGTGCATAGAGGTGGAAGGAATAGGGCTATACGGAAATATTGGAAAAGACACATTTACATATTTATTTTCATATGTGTGTATATGTAATGATAACATTTAAAGAAAAACTTCATGAATTTGAAAGAAAGAGTTAAAACATGGTGGGCTAGTGGAAGGAAAAGGAGGAGGGAAAAGGTGTAGCCACATTTTAATTAATTTCTTAAAATGAAAAATGACATCTCAAATCAGTTAGTTCCCTATACTTTTCATTTGGTGGGAACAAAAAATGTCAAGTATTTGCTCCCGAGGAAAAAACAAATATGCAATGAAAATCACTAGAATTGAAAACAGAGTCACTGGGGAAAAAAAATTAAACTACAAAACCTAAGGCTTATTTCTTCTGATACTCTGCCATGCTTGCATATAGGAGCCTAACACAACTATCTTCTGAGAAGATTCATCTAGCAGCTCATGGAAGCAGATGCAGAGACACACAGCCGAACATTAGGCTGAGCTCCAGGAATCTTATGGAAGAATTGGGGGAAGGACTGAGGGAGCTGGGAGGGTCAAGGACCTTACAAGAAGACCTACAGTGTCCACTAACCTGGGCCCACGAAGGTTCACAGAGACTGACCCACCACCAGTGAGCATGCATGGGCTGGACCTAGGACCCCTATACAGATGTAGCAGATGTGCACCTTGTTTTTCTTGTGGGTTCCCTGACAACTGCAGTAGAGGCTGCCTCTGACTCTGTTATCTGCCTTTGGATCCCTTTTCCATAGTTGGGCTGCCTTGTCCGTGAGAGAGGACATGCTTAGCCCTGCTGCTACTTGATGTGCCAGGGTGGGTTGGTGCCCACGTTGGAGCCTCCCCGTCTCCGCAGAGGAAAAACTGGGGTGAGGGGTAGTGAGGGTAACACTGGGGGAAGAGGAGAGAGGGGGTGCTGCGATAAGAATGGAAAGTGAATAAATAAATAAATTAATGGAAAAAGATAGATAAAAATCTATTACTTGCTAGCCAAGCTCACTGAGAAGACAAGTAGTTAATTCTACCAGAAATCATTCCGGGGATAGCACTGTGGGAAACCTGAGAAGAGGCCAACCAATTCAACAACAGAGGAAAGACAGAAATGCCTGAGAAGACCATGTAGCAAATCTCAGAAAAAGAAATACCACTGTGAATAGTCTTATGTCTTAAGCTAGAATAATTTGAGAAGAATTGATATTGCTTGTTATTATGATTTTTCTTAATTAATACTTAAAGGAATTAATAGGCCACAATGAACTAAGCCTGAAGACTGGAGAGTGTGTATACCTTTATCTTCCCTTCAGTTTGACTGTACGTGTAAAACTGCTCTCAATTTAAAAATTCTTATTGATATATCTAAGATACACATATTCCATGTTAAAAATGGTCATGAAAAATGACCACTCTTCACAATTTGTAAGATTTAGAACTGTGAGGTAGAAAAGAAACATGTCTGTCTGATGACAACCTCCCAGTGGTTGGAAGCTTGGCCCCGTATGAGTATCTTCTGCATTTGGTGACCTTTAACCTGCCTAGGATGCTTTCTTTGAGGTTCTCTATTGCTTGGGATCATTCTCCTGCAGACAGAAGTAAATGGGGGATAGAGGATTTCTCATCATCACAGTAGCAGGCTAAAGAAAGGCACTGTGGGTTTGTCCCAGGGGCAGGCCTGGGGCTGGACCACAGTGCAGCTTGCATAGCTTTTTCTTTGCCGTGAGTTAGATATGATCATCTTGGATGATCCACAGCCTAGAACATACCTGACATCTCTGTTTTAAAAGTAAACTGCAGGTCTGATGTGATAGACAAACTAGTGCCCCTGGGAGGTGTTCATGTACCACGAGGCTAGTGGGACACAGCTTTTCTAAAAAAAAAAAATCATTTAGATATTTATAATATCATTCTCTCTAAGATTCAAAGATGTCTTACCCCAAGGACTTTGGGTTCCCCCTTCAAGAATTCCTCCATGGCAGCAGAAACAGTGCTGAAATATAAATGAAAATTTGGATCAACTCCTGGAAATGGCTCAGTGCTAAGCTCCTGACTCCTGTGGCAGCATCATCATCATCATCATCATCATCATCATCATCATCATCATCATCATCATCACCACCATCATCATCATCTAGCTTAGATAAGATACAAAAACAGTTTGAAACCCTTGGTAAGAGAAGCTCTTCCGTTTCTATTTCCTCAGTCTTATTTTGAATGCTCACACTTTTCTTTCTATAGCCACAAATATTTTGGACTTCATTTTTTTCAAATCAGTAGTTGGAGCATTTGTACAAGTTGGCTTCATTTTCGTGAGGTGTCCCCCCACTTCATTATCTGCTCCCACAACAAAGAAACCCATCACATCTGGGAACTCTCCTCCCACAGTCTCTGGCTTCCAGCAGATACAACTCTTCCCTGCCTGTGAACTACTCCACCTACAATGCAAGGGAGGATTCAATCAGTCTCTATTACTTTCCTTTCATGTCCCAGAAGGCAAAGGTATTCTTTAGGAAACCCAAGGCAAAGGGTTTAGTCCACTGGAAAGCACAACTTACGATTAATATTATTATTATTATTTTTACAAAGAGCCTCTGCCATGCATCTCAGAAAAAGCTTTAGACCTCTGTGATAATCTGACATCCTCAGTTGTCTACTATCCTTCCCCTCCTGAGTCACAAGTACTAAAGAGGAAGGTAGAAGGAATTCTCTTGTGTCTGTATGGGAGCATCACCTGTCAATAAAAAGATAATGTCCTGTTAGCTGAGACAGGAAACGAGGTAGGGGTTCTGGAGAGAGGAAGGGGATTTCTGGGAGTTAGTCATGGGTAGAGGAGTCGACCTGTGATTCTGAAAAAGGTGGACTTATGAAACTGAGCAGATGTAGCCAGCCACACAGCAGAACTTAAGATAGGTCAAACGGGATATATGAGCAAGTCAGGGAACAGGCCCAGCTATATTTGGCTAGGCGTTTGTCAATATATTTAATCCTCAGAGTTGTTGTTTCAGGGGCTGGAGTGTCAAAGGAAAATATGCTTTTACAGAGGAAACATAAAAAGAGGAGTCTAGAGGACAAAGAGTGAGTCTTTCTTTTTCTCAAACTGAAAATACAGACAGAAAAAGCTAAATCTCAACAGTTTGTTGATAATTAATGATGATACAAAAATAAAATTTGAACAGGGAAGAGCATGGCCTAAGATCCAATAATCTGGGGGCTGAAGAAATGGCTCTTCAGTGTTGAAGAACTTGAACCAGAAGATCCAGGTTCAATGCATAGCCCTTACATGGCAGCTTAAAACCATCTATAACTCTAATTCCTGGGTATCCTACAGCCCTCTGGTGTCATTGGGGACCAGGCATGAATGTGGCCCAAACACATACATGCAGACAAAACACCTGTACACATAAAAGCTTCAATATCTGGATGTCTTTCTAAATTTTTCGTTAAGGGGTGAATTTCTGGTTATTAATGTTCTCTGGATTACTGGGCTTCACCTTAGAAAGAGTGTGCATTGGGCACAACTGTTCCCAAGCTTCTTTCTGACCTTCACGCCGCTAAGAGTCTTTCCCATATCTTCTCTCATGAACATCTGCATCAGCAGCTTCAGCTCCTGGCCTGTGTGTCTCCCAGTAAAGCCAACAATGCTTTGGGACCTAGTCCAGGTCACAGTCCATCTCAGGAGCAGACTAAGCCTGTTAGGCTGGTGCTCAGCCTCCGTCCTATCCATCTCCACCAAATATGCGTGGAGCAGAGATTGTCTTAACTGGTGGATTGTTGAAATAATATGTAGGAAACAGAGTAATACCACAAAAGAGGTTTATTAAGAATGTGTGTGAAATGATCGGTCAATAATTTAAATATTGCTTTCAGGTTTTTGATACCCAGGGAATAGAGAAAAAAAATAGAAATTAAAATAACTTCATACGATGCCCAGTTGGGGTCTTCTTAAAGCCTTTATCTTTTCTTTTCTTTTTCATAAGTTGTTTATTTTATTGTTGACAATTTAATACCTGAGTACTGTATTTACATCATTTCCACCCCAGCCTCCTCTCCCACCAACTTTTCCCCTGTTCTCACACTCCCTTTCATATTCATGACCCCTTTTTATTTAATTATTATTGGTATATATGCATATGATTACACATACACAGCTGTCTCCATATACATATTTTGCTCATATGTATATGTGTTTAAGGATGAGCACTTAGGATTGGATAATTCATCAGGGAGCTTATTGCTGGAGAAGACTGTTTCTTCCTCTCTAGTAACCAGTAATTGCCTATAGTTGTTTTTTTTTTTTTTTTTTTTCAATCTAAGGGTGAACATGGCAAGATACCCTCAAGAATACAATAGTGGCACTGACATCTTGGAAGTAGCCAAGAATTGCCTAAATGATCTATAACAATATTTAATAAGAGAATATTTAGTCCTGGCACTGTACATCTAACCACCTGCCTGTGGCTGGTGAGGTCATAGACCTGGAGGAAAATATATTGCTGCCACTTTGCCAACCTTTGTCTTTTCCTTGTCCTTATTCTTTGCATCAAAATCTGCCTCTTAAGGTGCATTTAAAAGTGTACACTACCCCAATTCAGAACACTAGTGTGTATAAGGAAAGGTGATCTCCTTGTTCTCATATTTTCATCTAGATGTCCCATATTCACCCACTAAATTTAAAGCCATCATGCTGAAAGGCTGGGGAGGCAAATCCCTGCACCTACCTCCTTCCAGGTTGCAGTGCTGCTCTCTGTGTCTGCGGAAGGCCAGGCTCTGGGAAGGCACCTCAGAGTGTTTGTTCAGCGCTGGAGACCACCCCACACCCAGCACCTCACTCGGCTTAAATTTGCATGTTTCTCCTAGCATCTTTGGAGATTATAAAGGCTGTGGTATCAACTTCTGAAAAAACACAGCTACTTCCTATTTTTTATGGAAAGACTGTTAGCTAACTTTCGATTCCTCAGAGTGTGTATATTTATTGTGAAATATACTCAAAAAAGGTGGCACTCAATAATAGTTTTTTTTTTTCACAAGAAAATAATATTGTTTATTGTGGTGATAAGTTTGAAGATTTACTTTTGGAAAACTCTGTCAAAGGAATATAAACAAAATTCTATAATATATAAACATGTATGACCCATTATTTTGTATAGTAACTATTAGTAAAAGCAAAATCAAAACCAAACAAAGGAGACATACCAAAATATACAATTTTAAAGACAATACACTCTGACTAATATAATTTACATGGCCTTTCAAAATCTGTTTGCAAAAATTCACACATTGCTGTTAAGTGTTTTTTTCTTTTCTTAAAAAATTCTTTATTAATTACACTTTATTCACTTTGTTTCCCTTCTGTGGTTCCCTCCCTCCTACCATCCCAATCCCTCCCTTCCTCCACCCTCTTCATGCATGCCCCTCCTCAAGTCACTGATAGGGGAAGTCTTCTTTTCCTCCCTTCTGATCCTAGTCTATCAGATCTCATCAGGAGTGGCTGTATTGTCTTCTTCTGTGGCCTGGTAATGCTGCTTCCCCCTCAGGGGGAGGTAATTAAAGAGCAGGCCAATCAGTTCATGTCAGAGACCGTCCCTGTTCCCATTACTATGAAACCCACTTGGATACTGAACTGCCATGGGCTACATCTGTGCAGGGGTCTTAGTTTATCTCCATGCATAGTCCTTGGTTGGAGTATCAGTCTCAGGAAAGACCCCTGTGCTCAGATTTTTTGGTTCTGTCCATGTTTGTAGCAGCCTTATTTGTAATAGCCAGAAGCTGGAAATAGCCCAGATGCCCCTAAGTGGAGGAATGGATGCACAAATTGTGGTATATCTACACAAGTGGTTTTTTTTTTTTTTTTCTAGAGAACTGTATATAGAGAATTTAAATGTGTTAAGTGTGCATGAAACTCCACTCTTGGAAACTCACCATGAAAGCATCATCTTTGCATAGCAATGATGAATACAGTGCTTTTCTGGGTCTAGGAAGCATCTAGAAAAGGCCTATCCTCTAAAACAAACCCAACCACAGTCATTTATTGCATATTCTTGTTAGTCTAAGGTTCCTCACATAAAGTCAAAACAGTCTTCACATTACTTTGATGAACTGTTTGATGCTGAGTGATTATAAAGAAAGGGTATTTATTTAACTCATTATGTGGGGCATAACCAAAAGCATGACCACAGAAATTGACAGCTCTCGTGAAGGTTATTCGGCTGAGTCACAATGTAAAAGGTCAAATGCTGGAAATGAGAGAGGTTACTACTGCATGGCAAAGAGAGAGACTGAGCAAGGCCCAAGGTTCCCTTGATATCACAATTTATCCTAATAGTCATCACAGCTGTGCTGACTTCCAAAGCACAGGTTTCCAGAACAGCTTCAGAGCCAGGGAACCAAGTTCAGGGTCTGGAACCCATCAAGCTATTCTTATCTGGAATTTAGGTTCTGTTCTTTCTCCAGGGTGATACAGTCTGGTCTGCACACACAGTATGAGACTCTGGAGGATGCCAGGTGCCCAGTTGTTTGGGGGAAGAGTAGTGCTATAACTCTGACATTGGCTGAAATATCAGATCCCAGCATGCCTATGGAAGCAGAGGCAGGATCCACAGAGAGATGGATGAAATTGTAATTTAGGTTCTGGACCTCACAGGGCATGGAGTCAGCTGGAGACCCAGTTGTTGAAACGCCACTCAGCAGTCACCCTGGAGCTTGTGTTAGCTGGGCCTAGAGGCAGGGAGGGGTTCAGAAATATCTCCACACACTGGGGAAGCAGAGTACTCTCTAACCGAGAGCCCACGAGACTATTCTGGTGGCAGCAAGGCAGGAAGCCCTTGTAGTCTGGTCTAGAGAGTAGGGTCACATATATCAGCCAAATTCCAGCTTTTCAGAAGTAAAAGCTATGTCAGAACAGGCCATTGGAGGAGCAACTCTTTGGTTCAGTCAAGGCTATCTCTTGTTCACATACTCTCAGAGACTCATGACTTGCCTTTTCTGCATTAA